AAATCTATGTCCGCGCTGACAAGTAGGCGTGACCGTCGGGGCAGGGTTCGCGGTGGTGTCTGGCGTGATTTGGTTTGAACTGCCTGGTCTAAGGAAGAGTGGTGAATTTGGTTTGAAAAGTGGTGAATTTAAAGTGAAAATGGTATAAATACTTCAACAGAGTGCTGCATTATGGGGTGGAGCAGCACTGTCAGTCCGACTCGAACTCTGACTTAAGGCTTTCGAAGCAGCGCATTTTCCACTGCTTCAGCCAAAAGCAAGAGATTAAATGCAAGTAGAAAGCATTCAAAGCCTATATGTAATTTTCTGATTTCGGATAGAAATTTAAAATATACCGCTCAGGTTCACTGGACCACTTTATTACTATGATTTTATATTTACTATAATGTTTCATATCATCTTTATAATTTCTGCTAATATTTAATTCTTACATCAATTAGTTGTATTCAGATAATGTTCATTCCATGTTGTAAATTAATGTTTTTTTATGAAAAGTGGGGTACTAGAAACACCACGGGACTCACACTTTTCTTATGGCGTTGTAGAGACTCGACGAGCTTCTCGTTCAACTCAGCTGCCGCGAGTGCCTGCATCGAGACCTGTTCAAGCTCCTTCAACGTCTCCTTGATCATTTCCGTGTCATTTTCTAAAGCGTGTTTGGTCTTAGGGAACACATAGCGACCAAGAGCGGCTGGCAGCGTTCATAGTATGCGATACCAGCGAATGAGCGAGTGCGCGATTGGCAACAGACAATCGCGCACTCGAGAACAGATTTTGATCCTATTGGCGGATGAACAGAATTATAATGAAGCGCTCCACTGCTAATCACTGTGCCGTGGAATCGCACAAACGCTCATCTCTGAGCTGCAGGTGCGAGTGTGTCTAGTGCTAAACGCGCTCCAGCAGAATGCAATGAAACTGCATACTGTGGAAGCTGCCTAATGCTTATGCCTTCCGCAGACTTACCATAGTCCTCTTCAGGATTCTCGGCAACCTTTTCAGTTGACTCCTTCTTGTCTCCTGACTCCTCTTTTTCCTCAACAGATTGTTCCACTGCTTGATGCTCTGCAGCCAGATCCTTGGTTGCCTGTTCGTGAATGTCCTAGAAAACATGCGATTTGTGGGGACCAAAAGTTCTAAATCGAAGACCTACTGACCACAATGTTCTTCAAAACTCCCAGGAAAGCTGTTTCTTGGGCTGTCATCATATCGAATGCATCGATAAGTTTGGCCATCAGAGCGCGATCTGGCTGAAAACTTACAATAAGAAGATTGTAAAAGGCTATAAAGCTGTCTGCAAGTTTCTGCACTTCCTTTAGCTGCTAGAAGCAGTGAGTTCAGTTTTAACGGTCCGAAACTTTCCAACAGTAAATAAAAGCATAATTCCTAGGAAAAAATGAACAAATTAAGGATGAAGTCTTGGCCGCTGATCAATCCTTCTTTGGTATGCGGCCTGCATTCCACTTGCATTCAGAAACGCATTGACTTGTATGGTATGTAGCCTATACAACGAATTGCGGGGACCAGTCGATGTCAAATCAGTATTCCTCCCAAACGGATCCGGTACCAATTTACGGTCCTCGGAGGGTAGACGGCTTGGTTGGCGTGTGTGGGAGCCAACCTGGGATTTGACCCTCAGACACATGATAAGTAGCAGCACTCGCTACTACACCACCTCTGCCTGCGTTAAGGGAAAGTTGTTCAATAAACGAATACTTATTTTATTTACTTCTTTGAAGGGCACCTTGTTTTGCGATTACGGCTCTACACTCCTTCACTCATTGAAATTCTATGTATCCCATTTCTTCATTCTTATGCTGCCCAATTCCACTACTACTGGACATGGAATGGTAGAGACTGCTTCGGACAGCCCCGTAAAGCCTCAAGTTTCTCTTTATGGAGCTCATAAATCATGTAACGCGCTAATGATTAGAGATTTTTTAAGCCCAGAGCTCAACATTGTGACTCCAGGTGTACCCAGTTGTTGGAGATTTTCGAAGAGGACACAAAAATCTACATCCACAACTGTCGCGGGAAGCTAGTAAACAAACTCATCATAATAAAATTAACTCCTCGTTACCACGGATTCTTCCTTAAAGGCAGTTGGCACGATAAATCGCTATACAGGTGTAGGATTTGTACAACTGGCTTAACAGAATTCCGTGACCTCGGACAGGCG